TGGTTCTTTCTAGCAACAATTACAGAGTTCAAACTTTCCTTTGTTCTAATTCTGTTCTCTTGCTCTGTTCTCTTGCTCTGGTAAAAACCATAGGCCCCAAACCCATATGCCTTTGCTGGTCCTTTACCAGGCCCCTATACTTATAGGAAAGTGGACTGACCCACATGACCCACTTCCTGTTTTACTCAAAGAATGAATAAGAAAAATAATAAGACCAGAAATTAAATAGAATCAACAATTATTAACCTGCAAATAAATACTGTAAATAATACAAAAAATATACATTTAAGAATTAACTAACAAAATTCAAATGAATAAAGAAATAAAGAATAAATTGCTCCAACAGATACCTTGGGAAGACTCCCTTAGGAAATGAAAGTTCCCAGCAGCTTACAGGACAAAAAAGTGACACACAGAGATCAAAATGCAAAAAATTACAAAAAATACAGATTAAGTACAGGTACACACTAAATGTGAATAGCCAAAAAAGTGAAAGAAAAGGTGAAGAGGAGAGGAGATTCCTTTTTATAGGAATCATTTCTGTGTTTTTAAGGGTTTTGTGCAGTTTACATCATGTTTGTTAAACACCTAACGGCAGTCATCATCATCCAAATGTAGAATCTCCTTATAAAGATTTTTAATGCAGTGTTTCTGTTTCATTTCCCGTCGTCATAAAGTGTTACTTCTGTTTCTGATGGAGAAAAGCAGCAGAAGTGAGAGCGGATAAAGCCTAAAATCCTCTCCACAGTAAATTTCAAATCTGAAGGGAAAATGAATGGGAACATTTTTTCCTCCATGTGTACACATACACCTAATGAAGGGGTTTGAATGTTAATATAAAAAGAAAACTGACTATTATAATTGTAACACCACAAAATGTGAACAGTCGGAGGCTTTTGCGTGGAGTACCAGCTTGTCTTTTTTTCATTATTGATTATTGATCTGGGTAAATACAAGCTAACTCAATATTTCCTTTTTTTTTTAGGTTTACCTACAGATGTTCAGCAGGCGTTTGTTGCTAAAGAGGAAGTTCCATGGACCTCAAATCTGGACCCAG